GAGCGAAGTTGTGGGGCCCTCAGGGTCAGGACTCCAAGTCCTGTGTCACGGCAGGGAACACCCCAGCTGATTGGTGACAGGCCTGGAAGCAAGGGTGGGGCCCTGAGCCCCAAGACGGGCTGTGTGGCCTTGGTCAGGTCACAGCCTCGCAGCCCAGCATCATGGCCTCGTACACCCCTCCAGGTCCACGTGCCTGAGATGTCACTCAGTCATACACACAGGCTCCAGCCCCACTCCCCACCCCCATGCAGGCACATGGAGGGCACACATGCACACACAGGGACATGTACACACATACAGGAACATACACACATGCACAGGGACACACACACAGGCTCATCCCCCAGCCGCCAGGATGCCACTTTTTCATTATCCTACATGTCGCTGCTGCAGTAAAATAATTAAAACGTGAATATTCAAATAGTAAATGCTGGAGAGGGTATGGAAAACAGTGAACCCTTGTACACTGTTGGTGGGAATGTAGTTTGGTACAGCAATTATGGAAATGGTATGGAGATTCCTCAAAAAACTAAAAATACACTTACTATATGATACAATAATAACACTCCTAGGCATATATCCAAAGGGAGCCTTAATACAGAAAGACACCTTCACCCCAATGTTCATAGCACTATTTACAATAGCCAAGACATGGAGACAGCTTAAATGTCCACCAACAGATGACGGGATACAAAAGCCGTGTCATATGTATACAATGGAATACTACTCAGCCATAAAAAATAATATGCCATTTGCAGCAACATGGATGGCCCTGGAAAACATCATTCTAAGTGAAGTAAGCCAGAAAGAAAGAAAAACACCGTATGACAACACTCATGTGGAATCTAAAATTAAACAGACATAGAAAACAAACTCATGGTTACCAGAGGGGAACAGGGTGGGAAGGGATACACTGGAAGTTCGAGATTTGCAGATAGTGACTGGTAAATATAAAATAGAGCAACAAGTTTATACTACACAGCACAGGAAACCATAGTATCTTGTAGTAGCTCATGGTGAGAAAGGACATGAAAATGAATATACGTATGTTCATGTATGACTGAAGCATTGTGCTGTACATCAGAAATTGACACAACATTGTAAACTGTATACTTCAATAAAATAAAAATTTAAAAACCTGAACATTTAAAACGACCCTTGAGAGAAATGGCCCCATCTCACCAAATTTGGGCAGGAAAACGCTGAGACACTACGGGGAGGAGGAGGGGAGATGGCGCTGAGAGAACGGGGGAGTGGGAGGGCAGCTATAGAGGGGCACCAGGCAGGGGGTGAACGCGGAGAAGAGGGGATAGATGCTCTAGCCCAAGGAACACTTGCCGGCCAGATGTGTGACATGGCCCTGTGGCATTTGGACAGGCCAGGGTGGGGCAGGGCTGAAAATGGGCCACGGGCTGACCTGGGCCTCTTTCTGGCTTTCAGCTGGGCTGGGGATGGAGGGACACGTGTGACCCAGCCTCCCCTAGCCAGTGTGAGCTGCAGACCTCCCTGGGCACAGGCTGAGCCGGGAAGGTTTGAAGCTTGGCCCCTGCCTGGGTCAGCTGTGTGCTTTCTGAATGACTGCTGGACCTCTGGTCTACGTGCCACCCCACACTGACAGACGTGCGTACACACACACACACACACCCTCCCAGTAGAGTGCCTTGTAGGAGATGCTCCATGTGGGGCCACCAGGTGACATAAGCTGGCAGTTGGGAAGAGGTACACACAGTGTGTTTGTTCCATTTGTACTTTTTGTTTCTTTGGTCAGGTTGGATATATTAACATTTGTTATGCTCCTCTTCATTTTTATGTACTGAAATTTATTTACTTTTTGAATAGAAAAATGACAATTAGGCAAGTTAAATGGCTGAGAAGTGACACACACACACTGGGGTGCATCATGAACCTCCTGGATCTTGGCTAATGATGGAAGTGGACACATGAAGGATTCCCTGCTGTGACAAGTGAATGTGAGCATCTTGAAGCCCAGTCATGTGATGTTTCTACCTTAATGTTCTTTGAAATAAATGATTGCCTCCCCATGTTCCTGCTTTACTGAATTACCCACCGTGTTGGTGAGTCAGCCTCAGATACCAAAACCTGCAAAGTAATATACCACATCATATGCTTTCACTCATGAAAAATAAATGCATTAGCTTCCTTTTTTTGAAGTAAATCATTTTAAATTTGCATCTTATATTTGGTTATCAAGAGGCACGCAGAACCCTCCAATTTTAATGAGAACAGTGCTTTTGTGTCTTTTTATCACATATCTGCTTAATGTTAGGTGTGGTGTTGCTAAGTCATATCCACACCTAGTTTTTTTTTTTTTTAGCATAATAGGAAAATCCTGCTTCACACAGGTGCATGGTAGTAAACGAAGCAGTACACAACCTGCATGCCTTGCAACGCTTGTCTACTCCTGACTCAGGCTGCTCCAAAAATCATTTCATGAAAGTTCAGTGAAATTTTGCTTCACCTGGGAATCAGATGTTAAATCAATCAGGCTCATAGTCCCATGACACTAATGAGGTTGGGTTGTTACTGTAAATAAATTTCTAACCCAAGCATTATTACCCTTTGTTACAGGAAAATATTAACAGATTTCAAACCCCTGTGGTGCTGCACAGCAGCCCTGAAAGTATCTCCATCAACCATAGGATTAATTTCAGTCAAGTCACTGAGTGTAGGAAACAAAGTTTTCTTTTGATGACATTTTATCAAGTACTGTAAAAACTGTCACATTTTCCCCTTGCATTGACAGATTAACCTCACTTAATTTAGTAAAAATATCTGCAAGATATACAAGTCTTAGCAGCCACAGTGAATTTGTTAAACAATCAGATCTTCAAAAAGCAGAATCCATGAAAACCAATCGTTCACGACGAAGCTCAAAAAGTCTTACAAGATCTTTACGTCGGGAAAGCTGCCTCACCTCCGTATTTAGAAGTGCTGTGTGCTGGGCACCCAATTTTTCACATAAAATTTTTAGTAGTCTGGGCTGATGTGGCCAAGCTTCAATATAATTGATGATTTGGACTGCCTGATCGAGCATGTTTTCCAGAGATGCAGGCATTATTTTAAATGCAAGTGCATGTCTATGTAATAGGCAGTGACTCCTGGTGCTTTTGGGAGCCACATATTTTATCCAGGTGACAGCCCCAGCAATTTTCCCGTCCACCCCCCCCCGAAGCATCACTACAAACACCAGCACATTTTCCCCACTCAATTTCACAGTTTTGCATAAAGCTGTGGATGCAGTTGAAAACGTCCTCACCAATGGCATTCTCTGCAAAGATTCACATAAGAGCAGGTCGTCCTCAGTGGTCCTGTTAAACCTGCAACAAGCAAACACGAGCAGCACAGCGAGTCCTGAGACGTCGGCTGGATCTGGCAGCTGCAGTGAGAACCTGCCACAAGTTTCCCATCTACAAACAGGCCCTTCTTCAGTGGCAGCAGCTAGAGCCTCAACTCAACCAGCAGCCGTACTGACAGCTGCACTGCGTCTATTTGTCTTTACTATACTGTTTGTCACACGTCCGCAGCACGACGTCTTTTGCACAAGGCTTGGTGAGCAATTCTCTGATGTATGAGCCTCCACTCAGGGCTGCGTGGTAACTTATACTGCATGATGCTTCTCTAGCGCTTCCATGATCTGTGTTGACAATTTTAGGTGCTGGGGGTTTATTGTTTTCAGGTGAATCAAGATGTTGCTTGAAAAAGATAATGTCTTTGTCTTTCTATGCAGCATGTTTAGTTTCCAAATGTCTTCAAAACTTACTAGGGGCCAAAGAG